GTTTGGTCACGGTGTGGTATCTTGAAGGAAACTTGATGGCGATGAACCGTTCTGCACTCATCAAGGTAAGATGAAGAGCAATGACCGAAAGGAGAAGCAAGGTGAAAGTTCCGCTTAAGTCTTTAAGAATACGTGAAGGATGCCCACTATTATACTCAAGGCTTAACTGAATGATATCAAGAATGCTGGGAATCGCTAGTAAGCCGTCGGCGATGGACAAACTCACCAGAATGTTGTTGGAAGCTGTTCGCAGTTTGCGAGATTTGTGAAACGCTCTTAGAACGAAATAGCTGCCAAACAGGGCAGCAACTATGATAATTCCATAAACGGTCAACAGTAGGATAAATTTCCACTTCGGCAAAGGTGTTTGGTTCATTGCGGGAGGAAACTTGGGACACCTAGTTGATCTGAACAGTTCGGAACAATGACTTATACCACTGTTGTTCCGTTTCTTATCATAATCAAACTATTTAAATAGTCAGTGGTCATTAGCCATGGCCAGGTGAACTCAACTGTGTTTATGAAAAGGATATTAAATAACGGTATTAAACAACATTTTAAAAATAATATTAAAAAGGTGTTCCTTTTTTCTCAATATCGTCAAAACAAAATACAAATGCATCTGTATCTGCAAAATCGAAATCAACCATTTTTAGTAACTCATATCCAAATTAACGCGATTGCCCATAGATCCTACATAGAAGGTGATGGTCGATTGTGATGCCGATTGTGGACCAGTAATGCTTTTCCCGTCACGTGTTAAAGTGATGTTTCTGCTTAAGATTATGCTAATTTATGACGACCCTCTAATCATTAAGAGGCCACCTGCCGGTACCCCCGTGGGTTGCCGTTTAAAGGAGGTTCAACTGTATGCGGTTTATGTTAAGAAACTACCTTAATTACTGACTTCTAAAACGTCAAACTCTAAATTTCCTTGCAAATTCATTGATAATCCATGAAGAAAGTAAATAGCATGTCAAAATTGCATAGTGTAGTAGAGTCAAGGAAACAAAACTAGTTATCACTTATGGTGTGCTTAATTTTTATTAAACAGCTGACTGCGTTCAATGGTGAAATGAATAAGTACAACGTCAACTAATTCATAAAGAAGGAACCTTATATTTCGCCTAGAAATGAGAAAGACTAGTAAGGGTGTCTTATCAAGTCAAAACACAAGAAAAAGAGGAGTGTTTTTAGACTTGAAAAAAAAAACTTAAGAATTGCAGGCTCATTAAAGATTTAAAAACCTCCCCTAAATATTCCTTTGAATTATTATTAATATTATTATTGTTACTATTAAATATATTATTTTTATTATTATTATTACTATTATCATTATTATTATTAACGAGGCTTTTAAGTCAGTTTTTGTCATTATCGACATCAGAACCGGTATCAAATGTAATAAATGCATGGCGCGTCCTGTTTCTTTGCAAGCGTGGATAAGTTTCGGCTTATAATAGATTGTTAATTCTATACACTGAAAGGAGAAAAGAAGTAAAGTGAAAGCGCGATTGTCAGCTGAATTGAAATTGTCATCATTTATTTAAGGAAGTAGACACATTGGCTCGATCAACGCCTTCGTTTTTGAGCATTAATTAAACTACTAGCAAACGTCAGTTTTGCTTCTAAACTTAACGATGGTGTTATTCATTTTAGGGAAACGTGTGAACAATTATGTAGGCAAATAATGAAATGAATTCATACTTGCTGGCGACATTTAAAACAAATTAAACTTAGTAAAGAGCGGAAGAAGTTTGGAGCGGAATAGCGGAATAGAGACCGATGAAGAATGCCTATATTTCTACAGGTGTTCATGTAAGGAGACTGAGCGGCCAGACTAAACAAGAAAAATTTGCAAATATCCAAACCACTTTTCTTGTTCGAATTTTGGAACCTGTCTGAGCAAGTTTAGCTAAGTTTCTTTGATGTGGATATTTTACAGAGACTCAGTATAAAAGTAAAAAGGACTTTGCGATCTATTTTAGCTTAAAGAAGGTGCTTAAAACTACAATAGCAAGTTATACTACTTATCTATTTACTAGAGTTTATTGCGTCCAACGAAGATCGAGAACGGGGACATACTATTCGAGTCGGTTTTTTTCGTGCGTTTATGTATCTTTCTGGATGCCATATGTTTTCACAGTTTTCACGCCATCTTGGGCTGACTGGTTGGCACATTTGACCTCGATCTCATGTGATAGTTTTCCTCGGTCGGGAACTGGTATCTATTTTGTGCCTCGCTCGTTAAAACTACAGATAATTTGTGTTTAATAGGGGTGGTTTTCGTTTTTTCCTCACGGATTTTGTCGTTCCCTTTCACTTAAGTTTCTTTTCTAGTAAAGGCAGAGATAACTAGATATTGTGTTAACAAAGTGTTCGGCACACTGTATTTGTTTTTATGCATATGAGCTATATCAGCTTAATTTGAACGATATGTTACAAATAACATCAGTGGTCGTTTTTAAAAACTATTTTCAGCGTTGTACTCGCTTCTGTTCCACATTATTTTTGAAAATGTGAAATATTACTTTGTCGGCCGCGTCTTCTCAGAAATTCTGAGTTTGCGTTGAAAAAGAAGACAAAGTGGTACTCGTTGCAAATCCAGGTTTGAAAATTTCCTCTCAGCCCTTCTTCAACGATAGTCATCCCTCGCAGCCGTTTCGTTGTCGTTACGCAACAATCCTCCGCGTTGCCTGACTACACTGAAACGGTTGCCAGGAAGACTACTTCAACCATTGACTATGAAAAATAAAAATTAAATGAAACCGCGCTTTTGTAAGGCAATGTCATTTTATTTCTGCTAATAATGGTCTACAAAAATAAGCTTTTAGGTTAGCTAACAAATTCTTTTCCTCGTGTAAATTTTCTCCGAATAACAAAGGGAGGAGTGTTGGATTAGTTATTTTGCTTAATTTCGCTGCTACTAATTCTTCGTTTTCATCCGTAAATCCTGAACAAGAAATAGTCGATCTGATACATTTGAAACAGGAGACAATTCCACCGGGGGGAGGGGTAGGGAAGGAGACTCCTAAATAAGGCCTGCATACTGTTTCATTCTGTTTCATAGGTGCTGCTACTGCCGTTCCAAGCTAGCCCGTCTTCAGGACGACTCGAGTACGACTGTAGCACGCCTTGGTTTTAATTCAGTCGTATGGAATAGCTGTTTCGGAAAAAAAAACTTAAAACTAAAAAGCGGTTTCAGTGAACTTTTAAAATGTATTCTGATGTATTTTTAATTTATAAATTGAGTTCAGCACCGCACTACGTAGTACGATGTTTGAAACTAACTCCCCCACATGCTACTGGGGTGTAGGCAACGCTTGCCGTGCTACACGGCAGTGGTCCGACTTGGTTTCAAACGTCGTGCTACCACAGTGCTGTTGAGTCCGAAGAGGTACAGAGACGACAGCATCAACACAACATACTTTAATACGATAGATTCATACCGCTCTCTCGAATGACAGCTCTACCCCCGGTCAGCGGTCAGTTAGTACTTCATGTTACTACATCTTCCTTTTTTTTTTTTTAAGTTAACTAAATGTCAATAAGGACAACGCAGTTCTCCAGTGTCCTAAAGTGAAACTAATCTTAGCATTGTTCGATAAGTCTGTCCGGTCTTCTTAGAGCTCCTCTAGGTCTAAGGCGTGTCAGCATCGGTTCAGGCTGCAAGGGCTTGTCCACTGCTGGTTGGTCCCCAGG